TGCTGCACCCTCAGAAAAAGCAAACTTTGGCATGGGCTGAAGGTTTATTAGGATTCTGCCCCCCCCCCCAGGAATTCAGTAATTTTTAAGTGTTAAATTACTGTTTTCAATGAGAAGTCCAGAACCTCTTGTAGTTTTGTACCTACAAGTAGTAGCTGTCAGCTATAGCACAGTCTTGTGTGAGTACAAAATACAGACATCCTTCAGTGACTAGGAGAAGATAGCAGTAGTTTGTCCATGTTGGAATTCTGGACAGTGCTAACCCCAGGTTTGATCATCTTGAACGTGATTCTGATACTGTTCTATGCGTTTGGTTTTTGTGGTGTTCCAAGAGTTAGAAGGAAAAGCTCAGTGATACTGTCAGTGCAGTTTTCTCAGCACTATCTGTTTATGGGTTGTGTTTTTCTCAGCTATGTAATAATGGTGGATTCCTTCATTACTTCATGCTAGAGTTGGAGTGAATGCTACAGGCATTCGCTACAGATCTGTGTTGAGATATGTTTACTCTGTTTCCCTTGCATCGTGTGGAGTCTTATTACCACCATTATACTTTGTCCTCATTTGTCATTCTGTCACATACTGTAGTGACCACTGCAATCGAAAAAAGAATCAGGATGTTGCTACATCCTGCATTTTCCACCTATTTTTTTAACAACTATTGCACAAGAAACATTTGCTTTGAAGCATTAGTGGTAGCAGTTGTGTCTTCAAACTTAAATGTCTATTTCTTGGACAATGGCCCTTGTTATGCAGTCACCTTAGGCTCAACTGGATTAGGAAGTAAAGCCTCAAAGAACAGTGGGAGAAGGTTTAGCTTCTTCAGTGTATTTCTGTTTCTTTGGATAATTAGACTTGGTAGGATTGAAGGCTATTTGAAACCTCCAAAGTAGGAGTGGCTTTTTAAAAACCCTTTAAAGCAATACCAATCTTCTGCTAATTGCTAGCTTTACTGAAAAGGTCTTTCATGCTGATGCAGTCAGTTTTGCAGTGTTCAAGAAAGAGGTGTTCTAGGTGTGCAGCTTTTAATTGTCTAGGCTGTTAATCAGCTAGACAACCCACTGCAGATCCCACTGAATCTAGGTAACACTGACATGTTCTTAGAGTTCAGCTATTGTTAACTTTTGCCATTGCTTGAAGGTATTGTTCCTGTTCATTCTCTTTACAGCATTTGTCACCTCTATTTTTATCAAATGCCAAATTAGCTTTGGCCTTATGTATGGAGAGAATTTTAAACTTTTTAAGAGGGAGGGAAAAAATACCAAAATAGGGGAGAGTTTTATTGTTAAATTTACTTGGAAGTATTTACTAATATTTCTTTAGGGAGAGCATAGTTTTCATTTTCTGTCTTTACTGAGAAGTTAGTCTTTTTTGCACAATTCATGTGTAGTCAGTTTCTGACATCAGCTTCATTTGTTGCATCAGTTCTGGCTCTATCTTTACCTATCTTTACAGACCCCATGTGTTCTATTGTCTTTCACATCTCTGGCTGTCTTTTTAGTGTTGTGTTTGTGTGCTCTGATAGGTCTGTCACAGCACTTCTTCCTCTTTAAGAATTTGATAGTGTGTTTATAAAAGTACTTCTAATTACAGAAAGTTGTGGGTGAGATATGAAAACAAGCAGTTCAGTCTAGATTTGAAAATAAACAGTGAGGTAGATTGTGGATAGGAGTTACAGTTCTGCTTCTAAAAAGAAAGTGTGTTTAAGGGTTGGCAGTCAGAAAGCCTGGCTCCATACTGATTATAATGGAATTGTCTTTGTCTTGGATGCAAACTTTAGATGTGATTTAGGAAGATGAATAAGGAGTTGTATATATGATATACGAACTTTTACTCCTAAATCTTCTGAAGCATTTGCTAGGCAGTGATAAATAGTTGTGACCCAAGATTGTCTGTATTAAAAAGGGAATACCAGGGTGCAGGATCTGAATACAGCTAAAAATGCTTTTTATAGTTTTCTGTGTAAGTAAGCAACTCCTTCCTTGAGTTTGGACGGTTTTGAATGATTGCGTCTATATCTTTGTGGTTTTATTTACAGATTGGTTATCTGAAAAAAAATGGAGATGGAACTCTTTTATTTAGTGTAGTAAATTCATCTGATCCAGAAGCAGAAGGTAAATGGCATAAACTTTCAAGCAAACATTTCTAATATTGAATGTTCTAGTGGATTTTGAAGTGTTAACTGTACATGCAGATCCTCTCTAGTATAGATGAGTTTTTAAAAAATACATATATGTTCCCCAAATCATTTTCCCCAACGGCTATATTTAGTATCTCCAATATAAGATGTTTCTCTTTGCCTTTCAAATTTTCACTCTTCAGATGCTCTGTTTTACTGATGCTAACAGTAAGAAGGTAAAATAACATCTATTTATAAGCACTTACGCATTGCTACAACTTTATAGAGAACTTGGAAGACAGGCTTTTGCTCCAAGTACCCTGTAGTGTTAAAATCTAATAGACAAAAGGTGAATGAAAGTGCTGTAATCCTATGTAAATGTGCAGTGCACAGATGCAAATTCAGAATAATCTTTTATCTTTTTTTAATTTCCTAATTTAAATTATTAGCTAAATTTCAGTTTTAAGTTAATTAGGTTTTGCTTAATTGCTTTTCTTTAGTTCCTTGATCTTTTCTGTGGGTTTTTGTTTGTGTTACTACTGTACATTATTTATATTGTCTTAATGCTTTCCACTTGTTTTAGTTTCAAGCTCAAAATGCAGAAATTTTGAAAGTCTGTAATGAACAAAATGTCATAGTCTTTATGCTGCTCTATGTCATGTTGATTTAGCACTTCCTTCTCTGCACCTTTTGAGACTGGAATTTGTTCACAGCTTGCCTATTGTTGCATTGATGAATGCATGAACCCTTTTGACTAGTCACATTTCTGTTGATTTTTTGATTGGGAGATACAAGCCTGTAACTCTTACTGTCTAAATTCCTTTTCATTTGGTAGTAAATTTTTCTGGAATGAAATTGAGCATTTTGGCTGCCATCATGCCCTTACCTATTTCCGAAAAAATTAAATAATGAAATGAATGTGATTTAATACCTCTGAAATCATGCCACTGAAAATTTAGACAGTGATGGTAATGGGAGCAGAGCAAGCTTTCACTGTGTGCTGTACTGTCCTGCTTCCTGATGTTTCTGTGCTCCAGAATCTTTTTTGATTTTTTCTATAGTTAATACTAGTTACACTGAATTTACAGCTAATAGTATAATCTGAATTTTTGTTGTAGTTTATTTTTTTAATCCTAGTAAGGTTCTAGGGATAAACTTGCTTTCTGTTGTTCAGTAATTGAGCATAATTACCATTAGATTCCATAACAGCCAGAGAGATGTAGAATAACTGCAAGTGTCCTAAATGTTCTTGGGATTCTTTTTTTGAGTTTAAAAGCATATTCCAAATTATTTTGAGCCATTTTAATTAAGCAGTTCTCAGAACTTTAGAAGAAAGAAATATTGCTATAGCCATAATGGTAATTATCTTAACAGGGTTCTTTTCGTCGTGTCTGGGTTTCTATAGACAAACTACCACTTAGTCAACATAAGAAATTGCTTTTATCGCTTCATAATATCTGGATCTTGAATGTTTGTGAATCAGCTAGTAAAAGAATTTCAGGTGCTGCTGTATACTTTAAAAGTGGAATAACTAAGTAAGCCATAGATCTTGTGCATAAGAGATGGAAACATATTTACAGCATGTATTTGAAACTTAAATGGAGAACCTGAATTACACTACCTATCCTTAATAAAAATGTACCGATTAAAAGACATCTAGCCTTTATGGTAACTGCAGCTTTTTAAAATAGCAAAATTAAATATTTATCATAAATTTTAAACATGAAATGCTTTTCTAAAAATTATCTTCTTTTAAATCAAATGATTAGAGGAAGAGACTCACCCAGTGGATCTGAGTTCACTGTCAAGCAAATTATTACCCGGCTTCACTACACTGGGCTTTAAAGATGAACGAAGAAATAAAGGTAAATGCCAAAGAACGTGTTTTAACTTTGTGTTAATTAAATGTTTGAGCAATTTCTTAATGTAAAATAATTTCAGATTATACCTGTCTCCAAATGAAAGCTCACTTGGTTATTTCTATAATACATAATTATTCCATTTACAGCCGAATGCAGTTTTAATTAAATTGACTTTTCTGCCTATTAAACATAACTTAATTAGGAGTTAACGGATTAATGTTTTGCCTTAGTGTTACAGCCACACTAGAAGCTTTCCAATAATGGTACTCCATTTTCTCTGGAGGAGATAATTTTTCCTGAGCAACTGTGCTTAGAGTTGAGAAAAAAAACATTTTGGTCATTTGCATTTTTGTATCATATGACAAGGATTTCACGAACTGTGGGTTTTTTTTTTTTTTTAGTAGTATTATTGACATTTTTAATCGTTTCTAATCTGTTCTCCAGAAACTGACTGGCAAACAACAGTGAAGTAGACACATGCAAAAAGCAGAAATATAAAAGGGGGCAGGGGGATGAATTTTTTTTTTTGGGGGGGGGGGGGGGGAAAAGGGGGGTTGGTTAACTTAATTCTTTATTTTCCAGTAGTATAAGTATGTTTATTTATATGGTTAAAATAGTTGCACTGATTCTAGAGTCTGGAATTGTCCTTGAGATATTGCTCATGATTTCAACTGGAGGAAAAAACCACACTGCACTTGCTGTTATCTGTTTCAGAAAACAAAATCTTTTTTTTCTTTTTTTGTCCCCCCAAGTAATCTTTTACACTTGTGTTAATCATTTGTCATCTCTTTCTTCTACCTGTCTAGTAACCTTTCTTACAAGTGCTAGTACAGCACCTTCCATGCAAAACAACTCTATATTTCATGATTTGAAATCAGATGAAATGGAACTCCTGTACTCAGCATATGGTGATGAAACTGGGATACAGTGTGCCTTAAGGTAAGTGCTTCCTTATTAGGAGGCCTAACTTCTCATAGCAATTTTATGAAAAGCAATTTGGATTAAATGTCAACTAGGAACCTCCAAATCCTGATATTTTTTTCTAAAACATTTTAAAAATAACTCGCTATAAAAATTGAAGCTAGCTTTCATCATGGTTGGTGGGGTGGTTTTTTTTTTTTGTTTTGGGTCTGTTGGTTTGTTCGTTTGTTTGTTTTCCATTTGCACTTTTAAGTTTCCCTATTTTATCGCAAGGCTGTTATGGATCTTGTTGTTAGGGTCTTTGACCACAGGATATTATCGGTTGCTAAAGATTTAGCATTTTGCTTTAAACCCAGCAGTTTAGATATGCAAGTTTTAGATTTCAGTGACTTAAAAACAGTGATATTTTTCAAGGAGTTTCAAAACAGTTAGAGCTACTTGAAAAGGAAAATGCCACTTTTCATTACATTGTTAATCTTGGAGGGAAAGAATTAATCACAAGCTTTTTTCTTTTCTTTGTGGTTTTTTTAACCCGCTGCCAATGATAGTTCAAGTGAAAATTTTCTGGTAGTTGTGAAAAACAAGTTTGCACATACATTTACTTCCATTTAAAAAAAAAAGGAAAAAACCCCCTATCTTGAAGGCCTTAGTTGCTTTTCTGAAGAAGCATAAAAGGGTAAAAGAACAAGGAAAATGTAGGTGTAATGCAGCATAGTTGGGGAAAACCATATTATAAGTTGAAATATTTTTAATGAAAGTAAACATTTTCTGTAATGCTTGTATCTCCATTCCTACTAGCTTACAAGAATTTGTGAAGGATGCTGGAAATTACAGCAAGAAAATAGTAGATGATCTTCTGGACCAGATCACTAGTGGAGATCATTCCAAAACTATTTATCAACTAAAGCAGGTGTGTCCTTGATACACAGAAATGTCACAAGTTCATCAAAACAAGAATGGACCTGTTTCTGTTTTTTAATATTGCATGAGATGCTTTGTTTTCCGCTGTCAGTTTAAGCAGTGCAGGCTTAGCTGTTCATGCAGCCATGCAGTGAACCAAATTAGAAACTGAATTAATCAGCAGAGAAGTAATCTTTTTCTTTTCTCCAGCTAGATCAATTCTCCAATGTGGTTCACTATGTTACTGCAGAAAGGAAGAGGGGGGTGTGCAACGTAGCAGGGGGGAGAAGGGACCAATCAACTGAATAGTGTTTGGGCAGCCCTGTCACTCAATGTCATGACTTATGTATCTGCTTCTGAGTTATGTTGCAATGATTTTGTTAAGGACTTTTTTTTTTCTTAATTTAAATGCAAAATATATTCCTTGTGGAAGGCTTGATTATTTACAATGTTGAAATAATGTTGGAGAACAGATTAATATCGCTGTACAGGTATGTATTACCCATCAGTGTTAGCTTTTAAATTCATGTAGTATGTCTGAAGGAAAAACTTCCAACTTATTTCTAAAAGCACTTTACCTAGGAGATTCATACTAAGACTGGAGAAGAGATTTTTCTCAGAAGTGTGTATAATTGTAGTGGGAATGTTTGCATTCCCAAGACAAAATAGACTACCAGAAACTGCAAAATCTTGTTTCATGTTATCTTCACTCTGAAAACCACTCTTAGTTTGAAATAATTGTCTGCTGTTTAAAATTATGACATTCTGAATGATTCAAGAATAAAGAAAGGGAGGCGGGGGGGAGACTGGAAGGTACTCAGACTTCCTGACGTGGTAGAAATGAGATTATGCTAAATCTCTGCAGACTTAGAATAGGGTGGGTGATGTTTGGGGAAAAGGACACAATAGAATGAAAAATACAGAGGATCCTTCAGAATTTTTTGGGTATTTTTTTCCAGTCCCGACTGGAAAAAGTTTGTATAGGAAACAGGAAGAAATGTAAAGGATTAGTTCAAAAAAAATTCAGAAGTTCAAAAACAATATTGTGAATATTCTTCTACATCTAGAAATGTGTGTATACAACATATTAACTTAGCTTTAAAATAAAACATGTGCCTTTCCCTTTTTGCCACCTTGTTCTATGAATATTGTTCCAAATGAGAATTTCTGAATACCTTTCAAATGGTCAATGGCTATTTACACTTAGAAATGCTGTTCAGTTGTGACATATGTGGATATGTACAGACTTTGTGCAATTAAATGTGTTTCAGTAATGATGTGCCATGGTGTTTTATGCTTGAGTATTTTGTGCTGCTACATTTGAGTAAGAATGAATATCTCTGAAAGTGCAACCTTAAATGATTTGGAATCAGAAGTTACTGAAGTAATGACTAAGATACTGCACTTGAATATAAAGTTTGTGGGCAAAAGAAATAGTGTAAGGGGACTCAAAGATTAGTTAATGCATAATACTAAAATATTTCAGAACAATAATGGTTACATTGTAATTGCATTACAGATATGTGAAAAAGTTAGCTGTCTCTAGCCTCATTTTGTGTGAAGTTTGAATATACTTGAAATTGTACAAGAGAGAGGTCTTTCCCTTATGTTGAATAAAAGTAATTGTTAGTATTCTTTCATTCCAGAGGCGAAACATCCCAGTAAAACCACTGGATGAAGTTAAAGTAAGTTATGCTGATACTCAGACTGTTGTTTTAGGGTTTTTTTTACTGGGAAAAGTGTCTTGGTATTTAAAGTAGAGAAAGTGATGTTCTCTTGGCTTCCAACATTCAAATTCCTAATTTTATTTAATGTGCATCTGTTCTGTATAATAGTACAGTAAAGATTGATAAGTGGAGTGGAGTATGTGATAAAGAAGAGGCTGTTAGGTTAGTCCTAAAAAGGCTGTTCTAACAGGCTGTCCTGGTTAGTTCTAAATTATTTACATGAATGTATATGGTGACCCATTAAAGGAGAGCTGGTCTTTTTTTTTTTTCTTCCCCCCCCCTCCCCCCCAAGGTTTTATGCAAACATCACAAAACATGATAGTGTTCTGTGGTGGCCTAGGATCCAATCATGGTAAACCAGTAAATTATACAAACTAAGAGTATTCTTAGGAAACATAAGTATAAGCTATGAAATGCTAAGATCTAAAATACGATTTGGTTCTTTAGGTTCTGCCAGTTCTCATAAAAGAAGAACACAAGTTGCGCAATACCTGTCCGGATTCTTCCAAACAGATTATGGTAAAATGGTTTGTGTGGTTAAAAAAAGAGACATTCATCATTCATTTTGTTTTAGTGCAAGGATGTGCATGCTATGAGGTAGAAGATTAAAATTACAATATCTAGAATAAGCTTTAGGTACTTAAAATGGATTTTCTGACAGTCTATTTTAGTTAGTGGCTTTGTTTTTCCTGTTGTTTTGTATTCTCTAGTTTAATTTAGCATGCATAACTAAATCTCAGAGGCAGACAGACCACTTAGGAATCTGAAAGATACTTGATCTGCTGATGAGTATTTGAGGTTCGACCTGCTGTAAGTGGAAAAAAACAGTAGTAGTTATCAGTTGTACCACATCCATTGAAAATGACTGTTAGAAAGTACGGGTAAATAATGCATATCTTACGCTTTCACAGCTACTAATCAAATGTTTCTTTAAGTGGTACAGGTTTTGTCTTGCAAATTATTTGTGACAACAAAAGATATGCACTGTATTCCATGGCAATTCACATAAAATTTATATGGATTACATTATAGCAACTAATAAAACTTATAGTTTTATAAATATTCCTTATGTTTTGTGGAAACGTTTGTATTTCTCTAGAAGGTGACTGGTTAGGTTAATTCATGAAAGTGCGATTCATGCGTTTACCTTAAACATTAAAAAGTTTGTATAACAGCTTGTAACTATTGCTAGTCTTTCTGTTTCTTGTATTTTAATAGGTTGGAGAATCTGCTGGAGACAGTAACACTTCTGACTTGGACTTTCTCTCTATGAAACCATATTCAGATGTATCTCTTGATATTTCTATGTTAAGTTCGTTAGGTAAGTAATTAAATATACAGTTATGGTTTAGTTGTACCATTTAGGCAAAATAACAGCTGGATTTGCTAAGAATAAAAATGTTCAAAAAGTAGTAATAAGTCTACATTTGACGTAGGTAAAAGTCTAGGGCTGGTACAAGATAAATGAAACCTTCGTCTGTTTTTCCTTTGAGGCATCCATGTGCTAGCCAAGCTAACTTTTCCTGTGCCACTGAAGAAACCAAAGTATTTGTACCTCACAATTTTGGTAGCTTTGCTTGTTTTCTGTGTGTTCATAGTAACATAAATTTTAAGAATCAGCGTGGAGCTTTGGCTCAGAAATGTTATTGCTTCATATGCTGTCTTTTAAAATAACTTGGGAAGTAGGTAAGTATGTGAAGCTCAATCATATCACCACTTGGAATGTCCCAAAACAAAAATCAGAAGAAACTTCAGGTGTTGGAAAGACTTCAGCTTCAAATAAGGCAGTTGTATTAAAAGTATTAGGATGTTGTTTCAAATACATGTCTTTGATAGGTATCCTTCTTTAAATACTACAAGAAGTAACGTTCCCATTTCTGCAGGCTGCTGAGCTGGTCAGATGTCTTCAAAAATGTCATCACAAAAAAAAAAATACTGCTTATGGTTTAAGATACTTTGTTTGGTATCTTTCACATTCTGAATTATATGTTATAAAACAACCAAGGTAATTGAAAGCTTAAAGAAAAAAAAGATTTCTACAGATTTCTCCCATAGGTGCAGTATTCTTTGAAAAGCAATTTGTAAGCTCTGATTATGCTGTCACACAGTAATTTTATTGCAGTTCAGTAAAAAAATGAATAAATACCTGTTTTATAGATAATGTTTAGACATATCAATCTTACTATGAATTTCTTGCTCCACTGAAAACTGCTTATATTTTTCTTCTTTGATCTTTCTGTAAATAATCAAACTTCTAGGTTACTTAGCTTCCAGAGAGTTTATGGCGTTATTTCTTACAATTCTTGCAAAGTTAGCAGGGTCTGCGTTGAAGACAGCCCAAAGAGAAGAGGAAAGAGTTTATTTTCCTGTTTAAAGTTGAGGGAAACTTTTTTAAGTCTTCAGATGAAAGAACAGAGTATGTAGGCACATACTTCCAGTTCTTTCCAATTTCACAATTTTATTTGGTTTACTATAAAATCAATGTAACTGGAGAACATACTGTTCTTCACACCTTCAGTGGTGGGGATTTCTTCACCTCCATAAATTACATGTTCTATTTTAACTGTCTTTTAAGTTAGATATTTAAGTAACCTTTCTACTGACTTCCTCTCCTTTGCTGCAAACTAAATGCATTAGTTCATGTCTGGAGTTTAACAGATGAGAAAGACAAATTAAGCTCTTATAGCTGTTTAAATACTGGGAGTCAGTTCAGTTTCAGCCATATCCCATGGTGCTCTCCTTCATCCTCCAGGATTGCCAAATGCATTTCAACATGTATTTCTTGATACTGAAAACAGATTTGCAGCTGTTGCCTTTTAGAAGTGCAAAGGAGAATGCAAGATGGAAGTTGTTTGTGTAATAGACAACACTTGTGTTAATTTATTTTAGAAATTTTTTTATAGTGACTTGGCAATTCATGCGTCAGTCTGCATGTTCTAATTATGGGGTTTGGTTTTTGCCCTTAGGGAAAGTGAAGAAGGAGCTTGATCATGACGATAACCACTTACATCTGGATGAAACAACTAAGCTGCTGCAGGACCTTCATGAAGCTCAGGCTGACAGAGTGGGATCCCGGCCGTCATCCAATTTGAGTTCCCTCTCCAATACCTCTGAAAGAGACCAACATCATCTTGGTAAAGTTACCTGCGTCACAGAAGTTGCAGTACTTCTGCTCTAATTGAAACTGGTTAAAACTTACATTGTAATTTAAATAAATCTTTGCATGAAACTACTCCGATAAAACGGTGTTCTGACTACAGGGTGACATTTTAAATATGCATGGCAAAGGCAACTAAGAAGACATACTTTTGACCTGTGGAATTAAGGACACTAATTGTAGTTACTTATTTTTTGATGAGGCATGATTGAAGTAATTGTGTAGTAAATTAATACTGACTGGCAAATCCCTAAATGCGCTTGCATTGTATGCTCTTAGAAATACTAAGGAGTATATAATGTTTATTTTACTTCGTCATAGTTGTATGCAGCAAGTAACAGGTGGGATTCTACAATAGCCTTCCATTGTCGACTGTAAAATTTCAGTGATAAGACAGGGTGATAGGGTAACATACCACTTAACAATTTGGAGCCATTTCTGAGAAGGTAGGAGACGTTGGTTCGAAGATACTCAATTACATTTTGTATAATTTTTTAACTCAGAGTAATAGAATAATGATTGCCATTTTCAAAAAGGATCTAAATTACTGAAGAATCTTACAATTTCTTTTTCAAAATCTCCTGTTTAAATATAATTTAAATATCTGTCTTGCTTTAAAAGTCTGAAAGGAACATGTGAAATAACCATGCTGTTTATATACATAAATATCTCCATTATTTTTCTGTACTTCTAAAGGTTTTGATTTTTTTTTCCCATGTTCTACAGGAAGCCCCTCTCATCTGAGTGTTGGAGAACAGCAAGACATGGTTCACGATCCTTATGAATTTCTTCAGTCTCCAGAAACCTCAAATACCACTACTAACTAATCTGACATGTACTATATATATTTTGTATTTTAATTGTATCATGTTTTTATAAAGTTTTTGTCCATGGCAGAAACCTCAATTTTGTCCTCTTTTCTATGAGGATTCCTGTATAATATTATCATATATGCTGGATTAAACAACAACAAAAAAAACCCTACTTAGTACATCATGTTGTTAGCAATGTACCAAAACCTTCTTTTGATTTGTTTGTTGAGGGAGGTTGTTGTCTACTGGTGTGTGAATCTTGACTGCAAAACAACAAATAATGTGTTAGAAAAATGTGTATTTTATAGAAACTGAAAAGTGATAATTTTCCCAGTATCATGGCAGCAGTCATTAGATGTTTCTCGTAGAGTTATCTACCAGTTCTGTTCAGATCTTAACTTGAACATCCTCAAGGAGGAATATTTTATTTCAGCAGTGACAGAACTGCATGAATTGTGATCATTATTATGCTTCCCGTCTCCTAACCCTAATAGTCTGCAGAAGTTGTTTCTGTTTCCCCATACTTTTAAATCTTTTTTTATTCACTCTAGAGAATACTTAATTTGAGAATAACAATACTTGGTAGTTGCATTAAAATGCTCACTACGAGAATTCTACCCTGGATCTAAAAAAGATGGATGTTTTTGTGATCCCTTGTGTCTTGAAACACAAAGAAAATATAATACTTATATTTTTTAATTTGATATGTATATTTACTTGGAGGGAAAAGATACTGGATAAGGTGTTCTTTTCAGTAATTTTAAAATGAAACTTTTATAATTCAGTACTGATGTAACTGGGGCATTTTGTACCATTGATATGTGCAAGCTGGACAAATGTTATGAATTTACAATATTTTGTAAATATTAATAAAAATACAAAACTACTTTTGATGTTTGCAAATATCTTGTTCTTGCCAGGAGAAAATTTGCTTCCTCATCTTTGCTAAGTCTGAAATACTAGGAGTTTTTGGTCTGAATTTTTGTGCTGCTTCAAAAGATAAATTTCATCGTGCCACATGTAGCTGTAAACAGAATTAGCTGTGGATTTCTAGGAACCAACAAGGAAGCCTGTCAGATACCTGGTATCAAAGTCTTGATAAAGCCTAAATAGGAAGATCTGTTCACTCAAACTAGGTATTGGTGGTCTGGACTGTTTCCTCTCCCTCCCCCTCCGAGATGCTTCTTCCCAGCCCCTCCCCCGCCCCACTTCTTAGGGATATGTGTGATTTGTTTGGCTATTACATGTAACTTTATGTTCAGCTGTGAAACTGGTGGCTGCCTGGTCCCCTCTGTATGCTAGTTGCCTGCTCTTTCTGTTGCCGGACTTCCACCTGAACTGGATCAAAAACTTCTGAGTTTCAAACATCCTTCTTTGCTTCCCCCCTAGTCAGTCAGTTTTGCAAAACAATTAAGGGAGCAGTGGCCCACCTAAAGGCTGGAAATAAAGAGTGAGGATCAGGAAACCGGAGCTCCTGAAATCAGCATCGCCTGGCAAAGCCAGTTTGATAGCAAAGCCCTTGTAATCGTGAGCTCTCTCAATTGTGAAGGATCTGACACCTAAGCTTCTCTCAGAATGAACATCTGCAGCATACCCCTCACACTGCCAGTACGTCATTCTTGTGCCTTGCCTTAATACTGAACAGAAACATGGATTTTGCTAAGATACTTTGATAAATCGGGTAATTATCTTACCTACATCAGCCTTCTTTGATACAAGTATCTTGTTTTTGCAGTTCATCTTGAGGTGAAAAGTTTCGGTCATGTAGGAAGTTTGCTGGCTAATAGTGCTATTTATCTGTTACAGCTTTAAATGGTGGAGTATATTTTTAAGCATTAGTCTTCAAGCTCTTTGGTGTTTTGGGATTGTTTGTTTGTTTGTTTTACAGAGTGCATCGTACAAGTTGGTCAAGGAAAGTTGGGATGGCACAGCTAGAATGGGCAGGAGGAGAACTGGTAGAGGTCATAGCAGAGCCAAGATACTCATCATATGAATTATTGAGGGATCATGATTACTTTTAAGTAAACGTATTCCAAAGCACAAATGTGTAATTCTGTGGGTAAGGATTTTTTTAATTTGGAACAGAGCTTTGCTGTAAAAAAAACTATTGGGATATTTTTGGAGAGTCAAATTAAATGTAGATACTATTGTATCATAGGTTTTTCTGTAGTAACGGCGGTTCAGGTTTAACATTTACATTTAGGTTACTAGTCAGACACCACACCCATCCCAAAGAAATGCCAAATCTTCACTGTTATGTTACCAGAAGTAACCTGTGCCAACCTTAAAGGATTGGGTTCATTCTAGGCTTGGTTTATGAAAAAATGTTTCGGCAAGACGTGAATCAAGGGGGATATGAAATCAACAAATAGCCTCTTTTGAAACCAAGAGGACTATGTTCTACAAGCAGATGAGTTTGATCACACCTTCATGTTTCTATTTGGTATTTTAAAATTAATTCTTGTTTTGCAATAACCCCTGAGGAAAATATTTTAAGTAAATAAAATAAATCTGTTTATTCTGATACACATCATAAAATCACTGTCATGTGTAAACATACCCTGCCTCTTCAGCCTCTGGATAGCTGAATATATCTAATCAAGGGTTACAGTTTTGTTACTATTTTCGTACAAAATAAGAGAGTTTTAACTTTGTAGAAAATTCTTATTAAGTCTGATGATTAATACATTTACATAAGAGTCTCATTTTTATGAATTCTATACAGTTTGTAAGAGAATAAAATGCATTTCTGTTTTCTTGTATAGAGTTTCCTTTTACCAGTGAAAAATAACATTGCAGGAATGAGTCCAACGGCCAGGGAAACAATTAGTGCAGACAAAAGCGGTATCTGAACTGTGTAACTGGGATTAGGTGTTTTCTGTATAAGCCCAAATGCTTTCTGTGACTGCGCAATGTGAGCTGAGCATAGCTTGAGTGGGCAGCTTAACGGATAGGATCCCGATCTGATACATAACCAGCACTAAAATATTGGGTGTAATAGCAACATCACTACTTCTTTTAAAAAAATCAGTGACTGAATTGACACTCCATGGAGCCAGAACCTCTCCCCTGGTTTAGTGCTTTGCTTCCTGTAGGTACGTTCTCGTGGTTTTTTGCATCCAGGTCTTTGCACATCAGTCATGTCAGTGATTCCTTGGACCCTGGCCATCCCTTTAAAGTGTGTTTCAGGATTTTGTATGTTAAATGTTGGCGAAAAAAGGGGGGGCAAACCCTTGAGGGTCTTTGTAGATCTCCTTCATTCTGTGCTTTGTTGCCCACATGACTTGAACTTGCCTCAGAGTTTGCATCTGCACTGTTGTAAAAGATTTTGCTACTGGGTGCATTTAACCTCTTCTTCACACCCTTCCCGCCCATTCCCCCTGTCGTGGTTTAACCCGGCAGGCAGCTAAACACCACACAGCTGTTTGCTCACTGCCCCCACAGTGGGATGGGGGACAGAATCAGAAAAAAAAAAAATAGTAAAACTTGTGGGTTGAGATAAAGACAGAAAAGGAAGGGAAAATAATAATGCTAGAAGAATATATAAAATAAGTGATGCACAATACAATTGCTCACCACCTGCTCACTGATGCCCAGCCGGTCCCCGAGCAGCGGTCAACCCCCAGCCCTGGCCAGCTCCCCCCAGTTTATGTACTGAGCATGACATCATATGGTATGGGATATCCCTTTGGGCCAGTTTGGGTCAGCTGTCCTGGCTGTGCCCCCTCCCAGCTCCTTGCTGGCAGGGCATGGGAAGCTGAAAAGTCCTTGACTAACGTAAGCACCACTCAGCAACAACTAAAACATCAGTGTGTTATCAACATTGTTCTCACCCTAAATCCAAAACACAGCACTGTACCAGCTACTAGGAAGAAAATTAACTCTATCCCAGCTGAAACCGGGACACCCCCAAATACCTCTGGATACAATATCTTTAACATAAAATCCTTCCTCAACAGCTGCTCTTAAGCCTACAAAGCATACAGTCAAGGTGGAGGGGAGAAATCAGGGTTCCAAGGCCCTGCCATCCTTTTCCAGAAGGCTGAAAGGCAGATGTTGCCTCTTTCTCAAAGAGCAATTCTTGCTGTCTTTGAAGTGCTTTCAGAGCTGCAAGAGAATAGCATGAATTTGGACCTAGGTTCAGTTCACCTTCGTAGCCTTGGTTTTGCTGTACTGCCATTAACATGCCCTTTTGAACTGGTTGTCAGGATAGCTGCACTCCCAGTCCTTTCTTGGCCTGTCAGTAGGCACTACTGAGAAGAATCTGGCTCCCTCTTCTTAACTCCCTCCCGTCAGGTATTCATACACATTGGTGAGATCGCTCCTGAGCCTCCTCCAGGCTGAAGAGTCTCAGCTCTTTCAGCCTCTTCTCATGCGAGACATGCTCCAATCAATCCCCTCATCATCTTTGTTGGCCTGTGCTAGAATTGCTCCGCTAAGCCCATATCTCACTTGTACTGGGGAGCCCAGAACTGGACACAGCACTCCAGATGTGTCTCACCAGTACTGATGGGAGATGAAGGATCACCTCCCCTGACCTGCTGGCAAAGCTACGTTGTATGCAGCCCAGAACATGGATGGCCGTCTTAGCTGTGAGCGTGCATTGCTGGCTCGTGGACAGCTTGTAGTCCACCAAGGATGCCAATGTCCCTCCCTGCAGAGCTGCTTTCCAGCCAGTGGGCTCCCAGCATGCACTGATGCATGGGGTTATTCCTCCCCAGGTGCAGGACTTTGCGTTTCCCCTTGTTGAACTTCAAGATGTTCCTCCTTGCCCAGTTCTCCAGCCTGTCGAGGTCCCTCTGAATGGCAGCATGTCCATCTGGTCCATCACCCACTCCTCACGGTTTTGTATCATTGGGCCCTGGCTTTCCTAACCCCATCCCTGCATGATCAGCCAGCATCTCTATGCTTCTCTTGGGTCACCTGCCCCTGCTTCCACCTCCTGTACATTTCCTTTTTATCTGAGTTCAGTCAGGAGCTCCTTGCTCATCTATGAAGGCCCTCTGCTATCTTTCCTTGATTTCGTACTTGTCAGGATGGGCCATTCTTGAGTTTGGAGGAGGTGATCACTGAATATCAACCAGCTCTCCTGGACCCTCACCCCCCTTTCTCTAGGTCCATATCCCATGGGATTCTTCCAAGGTGATCTCTGAAGAGGCCTGTTCTCCTGAAATCCAGGTGTGTTGGTCCTGCTTTCTGCCCTGCTACCTCCTCTTAGTGTCCTGAACTCCATCTCATGTTCACTGCAGCCAAAGCTGACCCCACCTTACAAATGAGGAAGAACTGGTTGGGGGTGTGGAAGTACCAGGTCCAGCGGAGCACCTTTCCTTGTTAGCCTCTCGATTGCCTATGTCAGGAAGTTGTTGTCAATACACTCCAGAAATCTCCTAGATTGCTTGTGCCCTGCTGTGTTGTTCTTCTAATTCACTATAAGTGATGAAAATAAACTGTAGTATCTTTTTGATAATTTGCAATGTTTTAATTTTCAGATCCCAAACTATTCTTTGTAATCACAAAAAATACTGAAATATCCTCTGAACAGACAAATGTTTTTTTTTTCTGTTTAGCTACCATAAATACACCTTAGTAATAAATGTGATATACAAGGATGTATTATATACAAGTGCCTCTCTCCTGTAGTATTTGCTACTCCATCTCATATTGCCTAGTCCAAAGATGTAACTGTGGCAGCTTTTTCTTTTGAGACAGCAATAACAAACTTGTACTGAAGGTTAAAGTCCAAATAAAATGATGTTATGCACACAAAGGAATCACCTCAACACAGACATTCAAGCTTGGCAAAATCCTTAATGAAGTTAGTGCAAATGGTGGCTGTGAGGGCAGGAAGGTCTTCTCTCAGGAGAAAGACACCAGACAGGTTCATCT